TAACATTACTGGAACAGTATGATCATATATTTGGGGTGAGCTCTTCACAACTCTTCTATATGGCTTTATAGTCACTATACAGACCAGTATGTTCCCCCATAAATTTACTGTTGAGGAAGACGGCTATCGGATAGAGTAAAATCGCAATTAATAATTTGAGAAAATAAAAATGAAGATAAAAGAGACACAAAATTTACGTGAAAAACCCTTAAATAATATAGGTAAAAACCACGGACAATGGTAGAAGAATTTCATTATGAGAATATAGGAATTACAACTTCTCTCTATCTACCAAATTGAAAACAATGATAATTCTCTCTTGATAAAAAGAAGAAAACAACTCTCAAGAAACTCTCTAAATTCTCTCTAGTATTGGAAGAAAGCTAGAATGCTTTAGGATGATTTTGAAACTAAATAAACTAGGATATTTATAGTTGAAGCTTAAGAATTAATTTGTAAATACCCTAAATTACTAAGGCTTTTATCTTTGATTCGGAATTATTTTATCTGTTCTTTTTGAGCAAACATGATTATTGAATCGAAATTGTGTCTTTTCCTGAAGTGTATGTGCTATGTATTGGTATAGAATCGAAAGTGACTGTGATTCTCTTATAGAATTGTCTGTACATTGCTATTTTTTGGCAGGAAGGTTGTCTTTCCTCTCAAGTATACACTGATACAGACGAGAGTGCGAGTGGAAGTGAGGAAGAAGCCGATGATGAGTCCGGTGAGGAAGATGAATCTTTTGAAGACGATGACGGAACGGAAGGGTCTGATATATCCAATGATGACGAGGATGACGATGATGATGAAGATGATGTGATGGTGGTGATGATGATGAAGAATCAGGCAGTGAAAGCGGTCAGTCTGTTACCAATGATCGGTATGTCGATAAGGTTTGTTCCTTACTGGCTGCCATGGCATTTACATGTTATGATTATTCATAAACTTTAAAAGTGACAGAAGTAATGAACCCGAGTATGGAGTTTGGAACATTTAAAGCTTTCTATAAAGGTGAAAAGATCAAGAAATCAGTAATAAAAGGATAATGCACTGAATATAAAATTGCAGGATTTGGGTTCTTCGAGCTCAAGTACGGAGTCCTCTGAATCCGATGAAGATGTAAAAGCAATCAAGACGCTTAGAAGTTCAACTCACAATCTACCGTCTCAAAATGACGATTCGAAAAGTAGGAAAGATCATCAGACCCAGTCGGAGGACACGTTAGCTCACCAAAATCAAACCCCTCATAGCAAACAATCAACAGCGACCGGGAGTGAACCTGGCCTGAGAGGTAGGCGTAACGCTGTTTGGAGACGCACCGCCGTAAGTGTTTTCTTTCTGCACTTAAGATGCGCTATGCTTTTAGCCTAGTTGGTTGAGTTTCTCTGTTAGCTGATAACAATTTCCAAGTATGAATCTAGGAATTGCAAGTTACTTCATTTTTTATAGGAAAGAGGCCTCGTTAAAAATCCTTCTTAACCGTCAAGCTACATAGGTATCTTAACGGACGGACATTGGAAGGAGGAAAAGAGTGCCACATTTTATTTCTAAAACAGAAAGTACATCCTGGGTAAAAAAACCCTTAATTACAACCTTCCCCACAAAACAAAACCTCTATCCTCAAAAACACTCATCCTACACATCCAATGGTTCGATGCGTTTATACTCATGCATTTACTGATTATTCAAGTTATTGGATCTGCATGTCCAGGCGAAGAAGAACCTTTCAATGGAATCAGCTGATGTTCTATTTGAAGAAGAGTAAGCAATGCTCCCATGATCTGTGTAAAAACCTTGTATAAATTTTCCTGCTGCCACTTGTTTTCCTGGATATTCTTTCATATAGCATACGATGATGCAATACCGACTTAACGTTTCATGCATCTTTTGAAGCATTCTTTCATGCTTTGGATGAAGCTATCTGTGCTATTTCATTTTGTATTACTTAATTCAGCCATTTTTAGGATCGAAATCGAGGCTGAAAAATCTGACTTACAAAACAGACGTGGAGAAGAGGTTCTGCTATATATCTTCCTTTAGAATTATTATTATCTCATCTTGCATGGAGAGTTTTCATAACTAGTCATCTTTCTAATGTAGATCGAAGGTAATGCCAAACTCGAAGCCAGCATGGAAAGACGAAAGAAGGAATTGCAGGATCGTTGTCGAAGTCTTGAGAAAAATGTATGTTTGTCAGGATCTTTTTCTTGATTTCTTTTCTGAGCTGTCCTTTCTGTTTCATGCATGATGTTATGTTTATAGGTAGCAAGATTAAAGGAAGAGTTGCAAAGGGAGAGAGATAAGAGAAAAGCTCTAGAATTGGAGCTTAGCTCGTCTCGAGAACCTCGATTTCTCCCCTATAAGATCGATGAAAAGGTATACAATGGCCTATCTCTGACTTAAACTAGTGCACCTAATCTTTATTTTGCATCAAATTTTAACTTGCTTGGTATTATGAAGACAAAGGCAACTCTCAAGGACATAGCTCAAGCAGAAGCAGACATAACCAATTTGAAAAATAAGGTTGAAGATCTGCAAATGCAGCTTAAACTGAAACTGCTTTTAAAGGCTCAGACAAAGCAGCAGGAGCAGTCCAATATGCTCAGAATCGAGAAAAACTTAGAGCATCGAACAATAACCAATAGCCCTGAAGAAAGGATCCACGTTTAAGAAAACCTGAAGGCAAGGATATGAATTTTTAAGGGCATGATGTCCTACAATTCAGATAAAAGCTCAAGAATTAGGAGGTAAATTTCCTGCTAGTCCTGGAATCATTGTTTCTGCATTGGATGTCGCTGATATCCTTGGAGAATTCACCTTAGGCTGTTGATGGTGCTTTGATTGCAAGGAAAGTTTACCAGGGAGGGATCTGCGATTTCGCTAGGTGCAACTGATTTCGATTCCGTCCCACTAAAAGAAGAGAAACTGATAAACCGCCCTCTAATCCAAGATGAAAAATGCCAATTATTACGTGTCCTTAGCTGAAATAAGGCAAAACTTTGGCGACTGGTTTTTGTTGACAGAGAATCCTAGTAGTATTCATATGAATATATGTAATTTTAATTCATGGAACATATAATATTCTCATTAAAAAATCAATTTCGTAGAACTTTAATGTCTTTCGTCTGCAACAAGCAAGCAAGCAAGCATTGTTGAGGCAGATGGGCTGAACCTTATGGTCTCATAGTATTCCCATCCTCGGGTACAAAATGCACCATAAAATAAACCAAGATTCAATTTTCCATTTAAAACAAAATAAGTAAAGGAAGTATATTTCTCTAAGAATAAGAAATAAAACTCCCATTATTTTTTTCATGGAATGGCTGCCTTGATGAAGTATATCGCTAATAACAATTTATGCATAATTTTACCAATATTTTAGTAGTTTACCTACCCTAAATTAACTTTGCTCATCTTGGAACTACCCCAAATTCACAATATAATAAAGGAGAAGATTTCGTTTAAAAGCTTGTCCAACAATCAGTTTTCCATGCCTCATGTTAATCCAACCGTGGAAACACCTCTCCAAATTATAACAGTTGCATTATCCAAATTTTCAGATTTTTTCATTAAATTTAAATAATATATAACCATGGTAGTCATCAAAAGTCGCTTTGGCCGAGTGGTTAAGGCGTGTGCCTGCTAAGTACATGGGGTTTCCCCGCGAGAGTTCGAATCTCTCAGGCGACGATGTTTTTTTTTATTTCGTTGGATTTTATAGATGCTTCTCTGTATCTTTATGGTTGGCCTTGAACACTGTGTTAAATATATATATATACTGTTGTATAAAGATAATCATGGAGCAGTGGATTCGTTCTCAACTTTGGAAACTCTAGTCTCGGCTGATTACTTTATTATGGGTTAAAATACAAAATCCCCACCATAATGAATCAGACAAATAAGCTTCTTTGATCTTGTTTCACAAAATACACAAGTTAACTGCATTAATAGGTTTCATACATTAATTTGTAATATCATGATATAGGTTATTATATTATTTTTAATAATATTTCTCTTTTTGTAACCCTTATGCCATCTTTAGTTTTACAACCTATTATTTTATACTATTATTAAATAATCAAGCCTAGTAAAGTGCACTTCTAATTTTATAGCATACTATTATCTAATTAACATAGATACATTCTCAATGTTTGCTATATGCGATATGATTGAAAATATAAGTTTAATTGATCCTTCGGGGGGTTCTTTTCATTAAAGTGTTAGATGTTGTATTGTTTATTATTTCTGTTAAGCCATTGAACATTGAATATCATTTCTGGTAAGGAGGTTTCAGCAGATGGAGCAGAACAAGTCTTTGAAGAAGATGGTGCATGCATGGATACACGTACCCATGTATCAGAAACCCTATGCCACAACCAAGTTTCCTCCACTAAATGGATGTTTTGGTAGACATGAAAGAAGAATATGAAGAGGAAAACATCGAAACAGATTCAATGGCCAAAGCTCCTACTTCGATAGCTTCAACAGAGCATAAAAACGGTTCATTTGATCAAATGTTTTTCATTATTGTTTCTAATCATGTGGAGCTATTGTTGTCATACAAGAATTTAATAGGATTCACAAACAAGGGAAGGAACATGGATATTCAATTTTTAAAGAGTATTTGAACATTAATAAGCAACAAGGAGGGTTCCATAATGTAATCATTATCAGCTATATCATTATCCTTAGGTCCAGTATTATCAACATACTAACAGAAAATAAGTAAAACGATAATGCAATTCAGTTTTCAACAAAGAGCAGTGCCTGAAACCTCTTGATGAAAGAATTGAACTTGGATTTCGGGTGAGTCGAGAATAAGTGATTGGAGCTTTGCAGTATAAGTTCCCAAACCAGAAGAGTTTGAGCTTTGCTCTTGTGCACCACCTACACTACCACTAACCTCGGTAGGCTTGCTTTGTTCTGCAGCTTTCTTTGTCAACATGTCATCATGGAACAACTTAAGTGCGTCTAGGGCACAAAGTGAATCCACAGATCTATATAACTCCCGAAATTTATCTCTCTTTTCTTGTGTTTCAATCCGGAAGACAATACAGTGCGCTTTTAAAGGCAAAGAACACAAAAAAAGAACAAAGAAATAAGATTCAGAGTAATGTCGTGCGGAAAATGTATATGCAATGGGTTCTAGACATTAAAAAAAGTTATCTTCTTCATTGTACCTGGTAACACCTCTTGTAATGCCACGGTTGTACCCTACCGGAACAGACTGCTTAAAGCCGATATTAAAACCTTCTTGCGCAGAAGCTTCTTTCCCTGCTATCAGGCCATCACGATAACCAATCTAGAAATTCTCAACAGAAAACTGACATCAGTTGCTAAACAAATGAACTAAAAAAGGAAAATCGAAATTATCAGGTACCGCATGGAATTGGTCATGTCTTCTCTGCCATTCGCGATCTAAATCGGATGTTTTATCCAATTCCTCATCTGAACTACCCCATAAAGATCCATCGTCAGCCTGAATGTCAGCCTCACTGGAATCTGAAAACAAGAAGAAAAAAAACACAGCGGTTCTAAATAACGTAAAACTTGTGGTACCCATGGAATTGGTAGGATTAACTAATTACCATTGGCAGTTGATGAATGGCCCAATTGTATATTGGATAGCTGCAAACTTTCTGAATAGAGCTCTTGGGCCAATTTATCATCCATTTCTCTGTAACAAAAAAAAGAAGGGGAAAAAATCACTTAAGCATTTCATCGGACACCTTCGATTCAACAATTTTATACTTGAGTTCAAACCCAAAAGTAAAAAAATACAAGCACTGAGGCAAGCTTTGTCTTTTGCTCATCTAAAACTAAAATAAGAATTGTCTCACAATCACAATAATCTTTAAATTCCAAAATAAATTTCTAAAGAACAGGCACTTCTAAAACAAACTAAAATAAGAAGAAAACAAAATCAAAATAAACATTTCCAAAGCTTGACTACAAATTAGCTGCCCTCCTGTTTCAGTTCCTTGAAAAGACCAAAATACCAACGCAGCTAAGGAGTAAATAACAATATTGCCAAATCCAGAACATCAGAATCACAACTCATCAGCATAAAAAACAACCCCCTTGAAAGAATAAATGAAAGGAACTACCACATCTTCTGCTCACTTGTTCAAAATAAAAATTCATCAGCACCCTAGTTTTTCTAGAATACCAAACAGACGCTGAAATTTGAAAATCACCTACAAATCTCAAATTTCTAACTAAGACAACAAAATATGGAACTTACAACGAGCGATTCCAGCCTCAAATAAAACCATAGGTTTCTCTTATTGTAAGAACCTTTAGAGCATAGGCAAATATATAGAATCTAAAAGGAGATAAAATAGCAGGATAACTTGCCTGCGATACGATATGAATGGTTTAAGATTTTAATATTTACTCTGCCTCCATTGTTTAGTTTTTTTTTTTTCATTCTTTTTGTTAATAGGTGATGGAATCGGTCTTGGTATTCATTTTCGTCGGTGATATTTTTTTATCTCATATATTTTTTTGTTTTAACAATTTTAAACTAATAGTATGATTTTCTCTATTTTTATAACATATTTTTCTGTCTTTTGATTTTTTTATCATTTGTCTTTTATCTTTCTTAAGGTTAAATTTAATGTCGTCACAACTGATCAAGATAACGTTCATTAGTTATCTCGTTGATCTTCCTCGCTTTGGACCCTCGAATTTGATTTGGATACACAACCTACGGTTCTAGATTGTTATCTCACGATGCTTGAATATCATTTATGTTTTATTAGTTGTCTTTCATAGTTCAATCCATTATTGTGATTTGTTTGACGTAACAATCAAATATGTTTGTATATACTTTTTATTTGAGTTTTTCTGAATAAGGTTTTCAATTTTTTTCATGATAGGATCTTGAGTGCTGATTTCTTAATTATTTTAAGAGAATATCTCAATCAAGGGCTTAGTTTAAGATTTTAATATTTAAAATGTTTGGTTTAAAATTTTAATATTTAGAATATATGATTTAATTAGGTATATGATTTTAGGATTTAAAATTCAGAATTTAAGACAAGATTTTAAAATTTTAAAATTAAAATAAATATACTGAGTAAAATAAAATAAATCTTCTCGTAGTGAAGGTTGGGTCCAATATTTTAGGAGAGGAACGGACGACAGAATCAAGGAGATCAATCAGCCAATTGATGCTAACAAGGCCGAAAAGAGAAGCGCTCTAACACCGAAGTGAAGCTGGTGAACTGTCTGTATTAAAAGATTATTACATATGGGAAGGGAATGCTCATAATATATACGCTACATTTGTTTCCAAACCTAAGATAGAGTTTGCCACGTACGAACCAATTTATCTCAAAGGTTAAAAGAATCATTGTTGTTTCTTAGGATCACTGGTTCGAGTCCCAAAGACTTTAACGGAGCGGTTGAACATTCATATGATCAAATAGTTAAGAGTATTTAAAACCGATATTATTTTGTCATCGTCTTAGTTTAATAAAAAAACAATAAAACGTTAAAAGAAAAGACGAATTGTTTACAAATTAGAGAGAGCACCTTAAAATCTTATGAGATTAATTAATTATCATATAAAAATTATAAAATAGAGTTTGAGAGAATAAAAAAATAGGACAAAAGTGATAGTATTGAAAGAAATAAAAAGATTGCTTAGTGGGTGGGAAGAGAATTATTTATTGTTATATAAGTTAATTTTTATAAAATATTTCGAAAAACGTATGAGATCAAACTTAAAACTATATAAATAAATGTATATATAATTTTATAAAATAATTTTTTGATAAAAATTAAAATTTTAAATAAGTTATTGTATACATAAAATTCTCTTTTCATTTTCTGTGGGATCAATCGAACCATGATCATATATTGAGCTTTGCCAGTAATTACATTTAAATCAAATAAAATATACGTAAATATAAATTATACTGAGAGTTGAATCTATTCACAGTACACTCGATAAATTGCTAAAAAAACATATATTTAGAAACAGACACAGAAATTTGTGTCAATGGGTATGAAATTTAAGTTTTATTAAAAAATTTAGAGGCGTAGAGTTATAAAACTTTAGAATGTTAAATTAGATAATCAATAGAAAATATAAATAAATTTAAAAATTTAGAAGTTGCAACCGTACCCTAACACTCCTCGGTCCATCATGCGTGTATTCCCTATACTCTTAATATTAATTAAGTTATTGTAATTTACCGAGTTATAGTTGATTCCGGCAAAATAGCCCAAATAATGCATATGGGGTATATTATTTCCCAAACAAATGCACTTTGCTTATTATTTCTCCAAATGGGGTGATATCTACAGTGAATCCATGAATGCCTTGAATCTCTAGACGTCTTCAATGTAATTTTTCCTATGCAAAATGGTTTTGGAAATCTTGGCGTCTTCAATGTAATTTTTCCTATGCAAAATGATTTTGAAAATCTTAGCGTCTTTAGGTTTAATTAATACCAATGCTTAGTAATAATTGTTTAAGGCAATGCAATGATTCAACACAAATTACATGCATTTAATAAAAAAAATTACCCGGTGAATGTGCACCGTACATGCATTCAACAATGTTTTTATTTTAATATTTAAATAAAATCTTTAATTTAATATTTTAATAATATTTAATAATGATTTGATAATAATAATTTGATAATATTTAATGATTTGATAATAATGAATTAATAATGATTTAATAATGATTTGATAACATTTTTGATTTAATAATACTCAATTATTCAAATATATATATTTATTACTAAAAGTTTAAAACGTCAATTTTTACTCCTTACTAAAATGAAAAATTGAGATCTATAATGGAAATTTTTTTGAAATAATTTTTACTAAAGGTTTCGAACTTTAATCGAGTCAAAAACTCATTTGACAATATCGATACCGTTATTTTCCAACTGTTGAATTTTTTAATTTAAAAATATTTAATGATTTCAAACTAATGATTTAATAATGATTACTAATAATGATTTAATAATTATTATTAATTTAAAAATAAAAAATGATTTGATACTAATGATTTAGTAATGATTACTAATAATGATTTCATTGTGGTCGTTGCACTTGTTCAGGAGTTTGTTCATCATAACCAACCTGCTCATTCACCAAGGGCAATATTGGCGTACGATGAAGGAGAAATATTTTTGTTTTTGGGTAACTTCTTTATTACCCGTCAATATAGTTAGGGGTCGATAATATTGGTGTTCTTGTATCGTGAGATGTGCAAGACGTCATTACTTGTAAATGAAGCGTATACGACTGAAATCCGTGGATGTACGATGTTATTACAACCGTGTGTATATCACAGAATTCCATGGTTAACATCGATTAGCCTAACTACAATTGACTTTCCTCTTGCCAGAAGATAATTTTTTTATTTAAATTTTTTTATCTTAAATTAATTAAAGAATATTTTGTAAAGGATAAATAATTAGAGAATTTTATTTTGAATGGTATACAGATGGAGGCATAAAATAGAAGGAACGGGGTTGTCACACAATAATGTGAAAGAGTTTAGGTTTAAGATTGACATCAAATGCAAAGTTGAGGTATATATAAAATTAATTAGGTAATTTAATTTTTTATTATGTTTATAATATAATATTGTTGTTTATTTATTTAGTTGAATTTTATATATACCTAAACCCTAAACTCTAAACCTTAAACCCTAAACCCTAAATAATAACTATATAATTTTATTTTACAGTTTATTTGGAGGTCATACGGTGATAGAGAAATTATATCGTGCGTACCGCAACATGTTTGGGCTCTGTTTTGAAAATCGGACCGGACCGACCGGTTCAACTGGGAACCGTTGCCTAGTCCGGTTCAATCTAAACCGGTTGAACCGCTACTAGTGAACCGGCCAGAACCGCTGAACCGTTCGAACCGGACAGGCTGAAAACCAGAAAAAACCGAAAATTTTGTGTGTGTTTTTTAAAATTAAACCAAACGTCGTTTGTTAAACGAGCCAAGTCGAACTCGAGTATTGCTGAGCTCGACTCGAACTTGAAAACTTTAAAAGTAAGCTCAACTCCACTCAAACTCACAAGTTAAAAATTATCAAGTTCAACTCGAACTCGAAATATAATATTGAAACTTGAACTCAAAAAGGCTTGAACTAAAAAAAATTTAGAAGCTCAATTGAAACCTAAAATTCGAGCTTGATTGAAGTGAAAGAATAGTTCACTCAATGCTCACCAAAAGGCTCCATGATTTTGAATGCCAAATTACCTCTATTATTTATAGAAGTTAGTTGTGATGTTCTTCTATGTTTGTTAGCAATGTGGGATTGTTTTGTTCTCATATTTTTACTCTTTAGACTTTTGGGATGCTCTTCTATGTTTCTTAGCCATGTGTGATAAAAAATTAAACCAAACAATATCATTTTGTTATGATTTTTTTTAGCCCCAAATTTATTTTTTAATTATAGTTATATAATTATATTTATTATTTAATATGTTTTACCTTAAATATTATATTGTAGTTAATTTGAATCATTTTGTTTCACTTGATTTTATGGTTTTTAATTTATATATGTTATTACTTGCTTTGAATATGACTTGTGATATAAAAAATTATTTTTTATTAAATATTTTTGGTATTTTTATTTAATTTTTTAAATAATTATGATGTCGTCCGGTTCTTCCGACCGATCGGACCGGTTCGACCGGTTGAACCAGTGAACTGGTAGCATGGCCGGTTCACTAACCGGTCCGGTTCTGAAAACCATGTGTTTGGGAGGGTTGTCAATATTGGTGTGCTGTTATACCATTGATCCCTTTCGCATTTGTGGAGTTCCAATTTTCCGATAGAGTGTTGAGGCATTTCGGCTTCCACCAACCTATTACAGGAATTTCAGAGAATCATTACGTTCTCCACAGATTAGATGGGCGGGGCAGGGTCAGTGAGGATTGGGC